ACAGGCTAAGGCGCCCGCCCTGCCGTGGGCCTTGCTGCCCGCCGCGGTGCCATGGGAAAACAGGGCTGCCCTCCTCTGGGCTTGCAGGGCTGGGGAAAACACACTGGGTGATGGGAAAGCTCCCACTGCCAGCTCTCCCTAAACATTAACTGCTCACCCAATAGCCACTGAGACAGGGAGAGCGAAGGCCAGTGGGGCTGAGCCGTGCTCCTACAAAACAAGGGGATCTTGGAGCAGCAGGGTGCCAGGACGTGGGCAGCTCTGGGGGGAGCTTGGGCCAAGTAAGGTGGGTGCACCGTCCCGGGAGCGAAGGCTGCTTGTGCATGGAGGGGTGGCCGGCGGGCAGCCAGCCTCGGGGTCCTGCCCATGCCTTGGAGGTCGGTGTGAGCATGCACCCGGTGTTTGTGCAGCTGCCCGGCTCTGCTGGCTTGGCAGTCCCTGTCCCCTGGCTATCGCCCTGTCGTCGCTGGAGGCGGGGGTGGCCAGGCGTGCGGTGAGACTGGAGTCCTGCCTGCCCCTTCCTAGGTGTCTGCCATCAGCCTCTCCCAGCCAGAGAGGGGACCTGGGAGCCTCTTTCTCTCCTGTTTGCTGCGTCCCTGATCCCTGCCAAAGCAGGAGCTGCCCTGCTCTCGGGGAGAAGGTGGGGGAGGGAGGATAACCTGCTGCGAACAGCACTTCTGCCCCGCACCCTCGCACTGGGGTCAGAAACCGGCGGTATTGGGAAACCTCTCATCTTACTGCTGGCTGCACTTGTCTGCCGCGAGCAAGGAGACTGAGGAGGGAGGCAGAGAGGCCGAGCGCTGCAGCTGCAGGGATGGGCAGAGCAGGGACCCCTGTGTGCCGTGCCACGGCTGCCGGTGCCTGCTGCGCCCCTTGCCTGGGAGCCGCTTCCAGCCTTGCCCTCCACTTGCTGTGCCTTTAACGTTTCATGGGGGAGGAGAGGCTGTGCAGCTTGCCTTCCTGCTTGCCATCTCCTTCCCACCTCCATAAACATCCTAAAACACCTCCGCCTCCCCTGTGCTTCCCCAGCAGCCTACCTGCTGCTGCTGCCCCGGCTGGTGAGGGCCTGGCTGGGTCTCCTGGCACCGGGTCCTCGCTTGCAGGAGAGAGCAAGATAGGGAGGCCAGGAAAAGCGTGTGGAGAGGCGGTGGTGGTCAGCTGGAGCAGGAGGCGGTTTCCTCCCCTGGAGCGGTGCTGTTGGCAGGGGGCTGCAGGAGGTCTGGGCTTCCCCCAGGAGCACGGGTAAGCCCTGGGCGGCTGCTGCTTCCGATGCCTCAGCTGGAGCACTTGTTGCATGGTGGATACCCACCACTGGGCAGGATGGTCCCGGGGGCTGAGCTCCATGTGCCCCTGGGCCAGGCAGGGGAGCAGAGGGAGGGGGGCTCCTGCTCGGGGGAGCTGCTGGCTCAGAGCAGCCCAGGGGCTTCCTCTCCCTGCCGGGGCTGGGCTGGGCTGCTGTTGCGGAGCGGCTGCCTGGCGGGAGCGGGCTGC